CTGTTTATACCGACCAGTCTTAGTATTTCTTTATACAAAAGTCCGACCGACTGGTCAATTAATAAATAAATTACCGTTACTATAAAATACATTTGTGAAACTCTTTTTACAGTACAATCGATAATAATTTTTATATATGGGTAAAATTTTCTCTCGTATATTCTCCAACATTCTTCACAATGAAACGGACAAGAAAGCAGCTAACGGGTGCGCAAAAAAAGAAATTATGCGAGAGAAAAAAGGACATGCCTTTTCTCTCAAATGATGATTTAGCTAAAGAATTTGGTATTGGTAAGTCAACTGTTCAGGGCATTTTAGTAAAGTCAAGTAAGTGGTTAAGTATAAATGAAGTAAGTATAGAGGGAATGCAAAAGAGAGAACGTCCTATTAAATGGCAATCGCTGGAGGATGCATTATGGTTGTGGGTAAGCTCTGTTTTGGATAGAGGTTTAGACTTAACTGGTGACATTATTAAACAAAAGGCTCTTTTTTATGCTGAGCGTATGGGTTTTGTGGATTTTAAGGGTAGTGATGGGTAGCTTACTGGTTTCAAAAGACGTTGTAAACTAGTACAGGTCGTTAAGCATGGGGAAGCAGCAAGTGCACCCAATCAAGAATTGGTGGATGAAGAAAGATTGTCCATTCAAGAAGAACTGGCTCGATGGAAATTAGATGACATATTCAATGCCGACGAGACAGGCCTTTTTTGGGCCATGGAACCACCACGTACATTATCAGATCGCAAACTGAGTGGACATAAAGCAAATAAGTCGAGAGTGGCAGTTTTATTGATTACAAATGTAAATGGTTCAGAAAAATTACGCCCAGTTATCATTCATAAGTATCAAACACCTAGACCTCTTCGTAATATTAATAAAAGTAATTTACCAGTCGACTATTACTGGAATGGTAAAGCATACATGCAGGTAAGTGTGCACTTTGTTATAATAACAAACTTATACTAATCACTGACAAATCTGGATTTAGGTCTCTATATTTAACAATTAGTTAATATTAAGAAAGTTTGACGCGGAAATGAGAAAGGCTAATTATAATCGTCAGATATTGGTGTTGCTCGATAATGCTCCAGTACATAAAGTCAATCACGATAATAAACTCACCAACATCACTATTCGCTTTTTTGCACCAAATATGACATCAGTAATCCAGCCATGTGATGCTGGAATAATTGCAAGTTTCAAAGCTCAATACAGAAACTATTCATTCAACAACGTATCAACTTTCTTGACACCACCTTTGAGAATGATACAGATAATGTTCTTGAGTACAATACTAAGAATGCCATATATAATATTGCAGAGGCCTGGATGAATGTTACACCGAATACTATTGTAAACTGCTGGCGTAAAACTGGAGTTTTGCCACCATCAATTACCAATATTGAGGAAGCAAACCAAGAACTTCAAGCAGAATACCAGAAAGAATGCTTGACTATTCAACAGTTAATTAATGGCTTAAACCTGACTGATTCACTTTCTGCAAATGGCAAGTAATTTCTTATATTATTGTTGTTTACCGTAATATTAATTTACAATTGCTACGTTTAGAATATATACCTATTGATGATTACTCATTAACGGATGATGCATGGGATGATGAAGAGATAATTGCACGGGCTATTGGATTACAGTGTGATGCGAAAGACGAGTCTAGTGTTAAAGAAGATAAGATAAGTTTCAAAGAGGGAGAAACCATTCTCAACCGGGCGCTGTTATTTTTAGAGCAGCAGGGGGATAGTTTTAGTGTAAGTCCTAATGATTTGCTCAGAATGAGATACTACATTAAGAGAGTTTCTTTTGAGCGTAATAGGGCAAAAAGCAAACGAAAATTCAAGATTATATTCCTGATATAAGCTAGTTAAATATATGCCAAAAATGATGGGTTACTGTAATAAAAAGGAGAGAGGAAAAGAATTCAAAATTATGCTAATGGAAAGTTAACAGTACACCGTTCAACATAATAGTGATATTTTGAAAATTTTATTTAAGTCTGCTGTTTATTACAATAATGACATTACATAATATATATTTGTACTACC